GCTCAGTGGCGTAACGGACTTCCGCTGGGCCCCCCGCAAAATTTTTTCTAGGGGCCCCCCATGTCGATAAAATTTCCCTCTCCCTCCCTCCCCCCTTCCCGTTTTTTCTCATATGGTCTAAGCCCGCAGCACGAAAATTTTTGAGAAAATCAGCCTTAACTACCAAAAAATTAAAATAGCAGTAGCTTATATCTTTTTATCTTTAGGTATGGTACGTGCAGGATTTAGCCTACTTTTACGTTATGTTCTGAGGTGGAATTTGATTCACTTGTATGTTTGCGCAAAGAAATAAAATTTTAAAATAAATAAAAAAAATAAAAACGTAAAAGTACCCGATTAAATGAAGCCCCTAAAGGATCAAGGACCTAAAGGAAGGCGGGGGCTCGGCTCAGGCCCAAGAATTAAAGGGCCCCCAAGACTTTTAGATTCTTGGGCCTCCCAAAACCCGAAATACGAAAAGTGACAAAAGAAGAGAAAATTATTTAAGAATCATTGAGTGGACATGGGAAGGCAGGGGCCCTCCAGCAAACAAAAAGTTAGGAACAGCCCAAGAGAAGTATGAAAAACCCCGAGCTAACAATAAAAATCAGAGGAAGAAGCCCTATCTCGGTAAGTAAAGGCCCAAAGTTTGAAACCAAAGCTGAGCATTAAAGAGAGAGAGAGAAGGAGGGGGAGGGAGAGGGGGAGGGAGAGAGAGAGAGAAAAAAATCCCGGCGGCCGAGGGCCCCCCTGCATAGCATCCGCTACGCAGCTTCATGTCGTAACCTACCAACCTAATTATCACAAGCGCCATGAGACGTTTCAAAATTCCCGCCGCTGTTTCATTTTTTTACAAGGAAATTGTTCAACGAAGCTGTTCGAAAATTTCACTAAATTTTCTTAATTTTTTTTTGTGCTGCCGATGAAATTTAGTGAAATTTTTAAACAGATTCAACTAACAATTTCTCTGTAAAAAAATAAAATGGCGGCGGAAATTTTGAAACGTCGCATACTTTGACCGGAAGGTGACGAAGTGAGTTAATCTAAATTGAGCAGGTCCGTTCAAGAACTATCTCATAGCGGTAGCCGCCAAAATCATGAAAATTGGCCCAGAGATCTTTCGAACGACAGTGACAAAAAAGAGACTTTTATATTTTTGAAACGGGAGGATTCACGACTTTGTCACGTAATGTTGAAACATCTCGGGTCATATTTTGACCGCATTCAACAGAAAGGAACTAAGCCACATCAACATTTGCCAAATTTAACCAAGTAATTTAATTTCCTATGAGATGACGTTTGTTGAGATTTTTTCAAAATTTTGAGGAATTTGCTTCGTATTGCGCTGAAAATTCACTGAAATTTGCAACAGAGTCCGCACAACCGTTTTCACGTAAAAAGTTAAATTTTCCGATTCAATTTGGCGATAGCTGATGCGGCTTACTTTCTTTCTGCTTAACGTGGTCCATTCCCAAAATCTCGGGACTATTTTATCAATAGCCATGAAAATCATAAAACCCGGCCCGGTAGAAATGGCCGGAAATATACGTAATCGGCCGTCGAGGCCGCAGCCTAGGGCGGCAAATTATAGGGAGGGGGCGCAAATTTTGGGGGCCGCAAAAAATGTAGGAGGAGAAAAACGAAGAGGGGGCTTTACCGCTAACGCGCTGACGCGCTGACACCGTGCCGCCGGAGTGGCAATTTCATTAATAATGAGAATCAGGTGCAAAATGATAACTAATACAGACTGCAAAATGGTCGATGAAAATGTCTGAACATCTGCATAAAAAATGTGTTGAGTACGGAAATTACGAATGGCATAACCCCCCCTCCCTCTCAACTTTGACACTTCGTGGGGGCGGCATAATCTCAACGGACTAGGAGCGGAAATCACGTGAATCCGGTCAAACTCTGGATTTCGAATTGTTCGCGCCTCTACGAATTTTACGATGCGCGAGAATACGTCGCGTCGGTACTGCGAGTCAGGTGAAAAGCTAAATTACCCCTTCAATTTCGGGTGATACCGCGTCGCATACCTACCATGGAGTCCGAATAGTTAGTGCTTGATTTTCCCCTTAACGACGCGCGAGCATAATAGCCAAGTTTTCCCTTTAATTTCGGGTGATACCATATCGCATACCTCAAGATAGTTTCGGAGCCGATCGAGGCTTCGGTCCGCGGCCTAGGGCGGCAAATTGGAGGGGGGGGGGGGCAAAATATGTACGCAGAGAAACGAAGATAGGGAACTGCCGCGTACACCGTACTGCTGGCAGGATCCGGCGGTACGGTGCACGGTGTGCTACAACCGCAACCGGCAACAACCCACAGAAGGCCGAAAAATGACACAGAAAATCCGGGTCGTCCCAAATCGGGATTTGGGATACACAGTTCAAGTAATTCAACCATAGAAACATGAGAGCGGGTCGAGAAGCACACTCCCTGCCACTTCCTTTCTTATCCAGCTCCTTCATTCTCATTATTCCGTACCGTTTTGGGTGATATATACTTATACGGTTGGTGCACTATGTAGGCTGCTTATTGAAATTGATAGACAAAGCTATAGACAAAGCCGCAGCCAAAGAAGACGAGGATAAAATGGAACGATCAGGGCCGGATTTACCTACTTGCCACCTATGGGCCGCCTGTATTTTGCCGCCCCCTTCTCATTCGTTTTGAAACATCAATAAAAACCATCAAGTGAACGTGCCGGAGGAGGAGGGGTGCATAAGACACGTTTACCTACTCGTGTTGAATACATTTTTTGCGAAAGCCCTGTCAACACTACTAGCAAAATGTCAAGGAATTTTGCGCGAAAGTTAAGTTCCGTAAACCTATCTTTATGTGGACAAGGTCCTCCATTTATAAGAAATGAACCAAAAAATTATGAAAGAACAAACATACATGTGGTTTAATAATTTTAACTTCCGCTGCTGCGCCGCGCTGATCGCACTGAGATTGGCGCAATGCGTGAAGTATTCCTGCAGTCTTGTAGGCGCTATACGTTTCACGCCAACCGCTCCTGACCGCACTGTGTTTGGCACAATGGGTGAAGTATTCATGCAGTCTTGTAGGCGCTAATATGTGTTAATTGCCGATCGCCGCGCCGAGGGCTTGTCTTTTTTATCTCAAGTCCTCGTCATCATTCCTCTCTGCGTTGAGCTCCAGGCCAAATAGCGTGTGAAGTTCCTCTCTTCACTCAACTAATTAAAGATGCTATTTCTTGTATCACCGAAAAACGACAAAATTAGAAATTACTATACTCTCAGGAAAGAGAGATTTCGTCCCCTTCTCTCATGGATAATTTTTTTCTGGATCCGATTTTTTTATACCTACATTTAAAAAAATTACAAAATTTGCCGCCATGGGCCCCGGCCCATGTGGCCACCCCCTCAATCAGGCCCTGGGAACGATCAATTCTAGCTATTGATGGAAGCGGGTGGTTAAAATGAACATAGGAGGTAAGTAGTGTAGTTACTAAGGTAACTAACGGCAACCCACATGAGACCTTAGTCGATCCATCATTTCCCCCTTACCCGCTTGAAACTCCATTTTCTCCCTGTCTTCTTTGTCCGTTGCCCTGTCAATCAATTTCAATAATTTCCGATGAAGCAACCCCCCCCCCCCCCCTAGGNGGGGGGGGGGGGGGGGGGGTGTTAGTGCAATTTTATAATGGTGTTTTGGTTTTTGTAAGAAATTAAATTTTTTATTCTATTTTCAAAAAATGTATTATTATTCGGAGACTGTCGAAGTGTTGAATTCCTCAACACCTACTCCAATGACTCCCCTGCCCTGGTAGTAACGACTGTTTAAACAAAAACTTGAGAAAACTCGTACATTTTAAAAGATAACTCTTAGAAAAAACGGTTAAAACATTCGTCTTAGGAAACTCTTCTTAGGAAGGTATTTTTTTAAGTGAACGTTACGAGGGGTGAAATTGCAGGTAAAAAAAGAGAAGGGGTGGAAAAAATGTTAAATTTTCAACTGCACTACCTATTTCATATTCAATAGTGTTTTAAAAACATTTAAAATTTTAAAAATTTATTTTGATTTTTTCTTTAAGTGGAATATTTTTATTTTTGTTAATAGTTTAATAATGAAATACAAATTTCAATTTTTATTAGTTAATTTTAAATTTTTTGCTATTTCCAACCGCATACCCTACGAGAAAGAGAGGGACAATTATATAATTTCAAAAGAGGAGAAGACAAAAAAAAAATACTTGTCCCTTCGGTTCCCACCTTCCCTACTTTTGATGTATGCTTTTGATGGAGTCGCAACACGTAATCCGGAGGGGGGGGGGGCAAGGTCTCTTTGACTTTGTTTGGTAGATATGATGTTACTTAAAAGTTTCTTAGTATCCAAATTTTTAAGAGAGGTCTTCGAAGGGCTTTGCAAACGAATCTTAGCTGGTCAAAAAAATGTCAAAAAGTTCCATGGTGGATCGTATCACCTCCTGCCTAGCTAAGTGTGGGACACACATCGAAAAATGCCTCGAACAGAAAATTATGCCTAAGGTATCGCAATTATTCACCACATTTCCTTGGATCGCTTTCTTGCAACATCTCCTAACCATGATTAATTCTATGTAAAGTTTACGAATTTGTAATTTTATCCCTAAATTCCGGTTTGCATGCTATAGCAAGGGCATTAACGAAGACAGAATATTCCAGAAAATTCGCGAACATTGATGGGTAAAAATTATTGATGAATTAAGAAGTATTGAGCACGACTTTAAATGCGGTGGACATAAAGCGGAAAAAAGTAAACCTAAAAATTTGACCGGAGTGACCAGTGGATGCTGTTGCGTGATCTGTTGATATCCGATTCGCCACGACAGCGGAAAAATTTGGCCTTCATTCCTTTACTTCGCTTCATCCGCCATGTTTTTCGCGAACCCGTTCATTGGCCTCGCAAATTTTGCAATAGGAACCTAAGAGGCAAGTAGCTAGGACTCATTTATGTGAAATCTGTGACCAGTCCCTCTCTTCTTATGCAATGCGCAATAAATATATTTACTCGTATAAGATTGCTTTATGTAAGTAAAATTGCCTATGTGGCAAGGAGCGCGGACATGAGACCTAGAAAGTATGGGTGTCCGTCTATTTCACTTCCTCTGTCACTCCGCCATCTTAGAGGTTCCTGGTAAGTCGTCCTTGTCCTCGGCTCTGAATTTATTTAGTAATTTTAATGATTTTACCTCAAATTTTTTACCGATTTGTATCTCCATACACCACCTGATTACTATATTACATGTTGAAGTTATAATTTTCCGACTTGGCCCCGTAATTAATCTTAATTTTCGACTTCCGTTTCAGGATTCGTTGCAGCAGTAACTGACACTCTTCAAGACCTCTTTTTTCGAATTCAGAGTCTCTATTTCAATCAACATCATGTAAGTTTGTGATTTTGTCATCTATGCTTTATTTCTATTTCCATTTTCTACCCTTTTCTTGAATTATTTCGCGCGCTCTCGTCTTTATCGAAGTGAAAGCGGTGTGGGTCAAATAGGCCTAAGCGGACCCTTACGTCTGTTCCCATCACCGGCCTTTTCTTCTCTTATTTCAGTTTTTCTGCCTCTTTGCATCTCTAGTGTCATTTGCCTTTCTTCTGATTTAAAATTCTGTTCTTGTTAAGTTTCCTTGCGGATCCATAAACTTCGCGTTATCGATTTTCCCGTATTCGGTCTCGTCTGAATCAATATGGCTGCCGCTGACCTCAATGCTGAGTTCACTCTTTTTTTGCAGTCTCACAGCCAACGGGTTATTGATTGACGTAGGTCTCGCTCTCTACCCAGCGGAATGGCTTGTCCGTCCTTTCCCTTCTCTTCGTTATTGGTCAGAGTCTCCAATGCAATTAGTACCTGAGACTGAGTATTTCCTTGCCCTAATTACAGTGTCATTGAGAATTCATTACCAAGACAGCTTTCACAGATGAACTGAAGCTAGTCAATTTAAGTTTCTCTTTACGAAGTTACATAAGTTTCTATCATAAAGTAGATAATTGGTGGACCCTAAGTAGATGAAAATGAATTTGATACATCTCTGATCTGATGTAAGTTCGGAGATAAGGGACAGCTTGTTTACAGATCCAAAGAATCATTTCATTCCAAGCCTAGAATAATTATAGAACTTGTGTTTTCCACACATTCACCCTCCTTTCCATTAATGGGTATTAATCTGTATTCATCCATTTGGAGTTGCCAATGCCTAATTGCCTAGAGTTTGCTCAACTGTTGCCTACGAGAATAGAGAGACTGTTACTCCGATTCTGTGACTTCATGCTAGTAGATGGAACTCGGCTGTGATTTAATATGTGTTCTCACATGAGAATGCAAGACACATGTTCCTTTTGTGCTAATATCTTTTCAGGGGTTGATCTGATACAGACATTTACAAGAACCTTTTAGAAAGAAGCTAAAATTTTACATCAGAAAACTGCCTTGTTTATATATTACATTGTCTGATAAATGAGGAAATAAGAGATAAACATAACTAAATACCGAAAATCGTTACCCCACTGAGGTTCAAACGCGCTGCTCATGCAACTTTGGCCCACCGACAACAGCTCTGATTGGTCAACACAGCGATTACTCTACTAGTTTGACGCGACGAAACCGAGTAGTTACGGCCTCTCCATTCTCGTAGGCAACGGCTCAACATTTGTTGAGACTGAAGTCAAATATTGTTGGTCACCACTCATTCATAGTGCTTTCTAAAGCGGACTCATCGTATGTTGAGACAAAAGTAAAATATTGTTTAGGTCACCACCCATCAGTGGTACCATCTGACTGCATGTATTATCCCCTTGAGTGGTGCTAATTTGTAGGTAATCAGAGATAGACATTTGTCTCAACATATGATAAGTCCTCTCTATTTGACTGCAAGTTCTAACTTATTGGGTGGCACTGACATGGAGCTCATCAAAGATTGATTTTTTTCTCAACACACGCTAAGCAAGCTCTAGCTCTCTTTTTAGCTTGATTCTATCACACCAAGGTAGTTGCACACCACGCAATTTTCTTATCTGAAAGTTCATAAAATTTTTCACATCGGTCAGGCCTTCAACTTGCAAGGCAAACTTCCCATGCTGCCGCCTCCGATCGGGCTGAATAAATTCGTACAAACTCTTCGGATGAATCCATTGGACCCATGTTTTTTTGTTTTTTCCAATGCGCCCTAGAAGCACCCCAAAAAAATTCCAAAAAGTCTTGTTTTAAGCGCTCGAGTCTATGTATGCAGTTTAACAGCTCTTTTTCCACATCAGGCGGTGGCTCTGTGGCAGAGCACTTTCCTTACAAGAAGGCAGTCTCAGATAAGATGACTTTTTTTTACGATCAAATTTTATATTTTCACTAATTACCTGCTACAGAACTTCACATCGTATCACATTTAATATACATTAAAAAAAACCCAAGTATCTATACTTTTAATTGAAGAAGTTATTGATCATTGATTAATTTGTGTTTGGTGATGGTTGTAAATTAATCGATGTATTGAGATCCAATGCATTAAATATGTAAATATATTAAATTTGATTGAAAAATTTAGTCATCTCGCCTGGGGATCAAACTTGGGACCGCCTGCTTACAAGGCAAGCGCTCTACCGCAGAGCCACTGCTTAATGTGGGAAGAGATCCGCTAAACTGCGTTTGTAGACTCGCACGCTCAAAACAAGACTTTCCGGAACTTTTTTGGGGTGTTTTCAGGGTGCATTGGAAAAAACATAACAACACGGGTTCAATGGATTCATCCAAAGAGTTCGTACGAACTTTTTCAGCCCGATCAGAGGCGGCAGCTTGGGAAGTCCCCCTTGTTAGTTGTTCTCAATTAGCAATTTGCTTTTTCCCATCTGGAGTCGGTTCCAATTTCTGTAGAGTCAGTTATCAGTGGAGAGATGGAGCTGTTGATAATCTTTTGATAGCCTGTTTTACTTATTCCAACCTCGTTGCTGCATCGCCCTTTAATAGTTCAGTCATCGCCTCCCACTTTTCACTTCACCACACCCTAGTGATGTCCCAAAGATTGTAAGTAACTAAAGCACAACTTTTTCTTGAACAGGAGACTGAACAATATGTAGCTTTGAGATTTTAATGAAATTCAAATTTTAATTAATGAATTTTTGATATCTTGCAGGACCGTCGATGTTTACAAGCCTTACAGCAATGGTGGAAGCGGCTACCAAGGTGGCTACAGTGGAGGTAGCCGTGGCGGTAGTAGCTATGGCGGTAACAAAAGCTATGGCGGTAACAGCAGTTACGGTGGTGGTAACAGCAGTTATGGTGGTGGCAGCAAGTTTGGTGGTGGCGGCTACGGAGGCGGAAAGTTCGGAGGAAGCGGATTCGGCGGAGGTAAATTCGGAGTTGGGGCTGGCGCAGGCCTGCGCACCCCAAAATGGGATGCTAGTAACATGAAGCCCTTCTTGAAGAACTTCTACCAACCATGCCCATCAGCTGCCGCCAGGTCTCCCATTGAGGTCAAAGCCTTCCGTGACAAGCATGAGATCGCTGTCATTGGTGATGCACCTGGACCCATTCTCCAGTTCAGAGAAGCCAACTTCCCCAACTTTATCCTCCAACAACTTCAGTAAGTTCTAAATAAACTCTTTCAGTTAAATCATCTTTTACGAAAAAGCTTGTGGAATTGTTCCTGTATAGATTTTCACTTTGTATTGTAAATGAAATGCCATGAATGTGGCATAGGCTTTCTCGAGCTTCTGCTTTTCTTGCGTTCTGCTTTGTCCTTAAAGGCAGAGAAAATTTAAGAAAGCCTCAGCCTTTTCTTTCTCCTTAATTGTGTTACTTTTCTTTTTTTAAGCATACTTAGTATTTTCTAGTAATTAAAATTTACAAGCTAATATCTCAGAATTTTGCAGAAAGGATGATGAAAACCAAGCTGTGCTGTTTGCACCCTCTATGCAATGAATCTACTTTAGGTGATAAGCATTAGCATGGTTCCTTCCAGCAGTCCATCTGGGATGTTTGTGTCCTTCAGAAGGATATGAAGTCACCCTCTCTCATTAATAGAGGAGCCCTTGAATGTAGTATATCCTGTTATTGATTGTGAGTGATCTACAGATCATTCATGGGGGGCTCAGAAGGTGTAAAATCGAATGAAGAAAGAAATTATAATGGTTGATATTTTATAGAGAGAGTGAATGATTTTAAAGGTATAAAAATTTGATGAAGATTGACACCTGTGAATAAAAACGACTGATTCTGATCATCTTTTAGACTTGAAGTTGCTTATCTTGAATTTATTTGTACTGGGTTTTTGAGATTCTGTATTTAGACTTTTCTTACAAAGTGTATTTTTCTTATTTTAGGAGGAATGGTTTTGAAGCCCCGACCCCTATCCAAGCCCAAGGCTGGCCCATTGCAATGTCAGGCAAAAACTTAGTCGGAATTGCCCAAACTGGCTCTGGAAAAACTTTGGCAGTAAGTAGCATTTTACTTTTTAATGATCAACAGTGTCTAGTGAGAAATGCCTTAATTTAAGAGTTTAATATGAGTATTATCCATGAAAATCAGTCTTTTACTGAAGAGTCGTCTCTTTAAACGAGCTCTCTTGATTTATCTTGACTCCTTTCAGGATGCCACAAGAGAAAAACAGTGCAATGTATAAAATTTCACTGTCCCCTAGAAATGTCCGAATTAAAGCAAACTATTCTCGCTATCATAAGAAGAAGAAGAAAGTGAAATTGTGCTGGGTATTTGTGCATGTTAGGGTGTCTATAAGTCTGGATATTCCGCAATAAGTTCTGGAATAATTTTCTTTTTTTGAGCGAGAAATTTAAATTTTTCGAACTTTTTCCAATGCAGGTACTGAAAAAGCTCTGAATTTTTCTGTAGTTGAAGTTCTATATTTCCTCGGAATGTACTGTTAAAGTACTAATTTTTGTCCAGCCTGTTTGAGTAGNATTTTGGAGATGAACCAAGAATTAGATGAAGAATTTATGACTTAAATCACGGCACCTTAATTACGGGATGACCTTAATACGGCAACTATGTATTGTCCACGAGATGCAGATGGACCCATTTCCTTAGCTCATCAAAAGTTATTCGAAGATCAATTTTATCAGCCACCCGTGCGACCCACGTTTCTAGTGACATCGAAATCCGAACATCCGTTTCATTCGAATCCGACGTTTCTTTTTTAATTTCGGTAATGCCTGAAAATCAGATAACATAGGAATTGACTCTGCTGTACTTACAATCATTGATAAATCATCAAATGAAGGGGGGGTTACTGTAATGTTAATTACATCTAAGACATCAAAATGGCCGCTATTAATAGGACCACTGAATAAAAATCTTGCTAATTTGGAATTCGAAGAATCAGAAATGTTATAGATTAATATACCTGCAGTAGAATATATTTCAAAATTGTAAAAATATAATTCCTTTGCAGCAACTATCTCGCTATAAGCACCTATGTTGATGAAAAAGACATTTCCAAAATATACTCATCTTTTGTAGAATAAAAATGGTGGTCTTCTCCCTCGGTTAAGAACTGGAATCTTTCCCAATTACTTGCAACGTATTGAATTATTTCACTGCGAACTGTATGACGAAGACTGTTGGTGCCATTATGTAAGATATAGAGCTAAATAAACAACCACCATCTTTAGGTTGATGAATGATTTTACAGTTAAATTGAGTTCCACTGGAATAAATAGTTAAGAAATCCATGATGACACTAGAAAACCACTATTAAAAAGACAACTACAGTTAAATTGAGTTCCACTGGAATTAATAGTTAAAAAATCCATGATTACACAACAAACCCACTATGAAAGCAACAACTAAAGTTCAGAAATAGTTAGGAAATCCATGATTACACTAGAAAACCACTATTAAAACGACAACTACAGTTAAATTGAGTTCCACTGGAATTAATAGTTAAAAAATCCATGATTACACAAGAAACCGACTATGAAAGCAACAACTAAAGTTCAGATAATGGAAAATAACTGACCCAAAACATTCAAAAAGATGTTATTTTCATCAGCTGCTCAGTTTAAAAAATAAAAAAAAACAAAACAAAACGTTCGTGGGGAGGGGGGAAGGCGAATATATATACGAACAGTAAGCGTAGAAGAATAACTATGGAAACATAAGAAAGCTCAAAAACTTTCATCAGCTGATAACCGGATGAAACATAGAAAGGCCCGCAGTGTTGCCGTTCATAGCATAGAACAGCGGAAATCAAGGGCCAATTACGCGCGCAGCTAAAGGTATCCGACGGCCACCCGGCAACGGCCGCGTCAGGAAATATACCCGCACTGCTACGTCTCTCTTTCCAACACACACGGGCTTACGGGAATATCCGCGACTTCCGACCGCGGTTACTCGCGAACGGACGGGCGGATCGCGAAAAGAAAGCTTATTGCACCCCTCGGGGACAGTACCCGTCGAACGGCTAAGTTCGCACCGATTCCGACCGGTGGGAGCGGGGAGGTGAGCGTGATGGATCAGTGTATGATCAATGTATTTCCCTTTTATTAGTTAGATTATCCATGAAAATCTGTCTTTTACTGAAGAGTCGTCTCTTTAAACGAGCTCTCTTGATTTATCTTGGCTCCTTTCAGGATGCCACAAGAGAAAAACAGTGTAATGTATAAAATTTCACTGTCCCCTAGAAATGTCCGAATTAAAGCAAACTATTCTCGCCATCATAAGAAGAAGAAGAAAGTGAAATTGTGCTTGGTATTTGTGCATGTTAGGGTGTCTATAAGTCTGGATATTCCGCAATAAGTTCTGGAGTAATTTTCTTTTTTTGAGCGAGAAATTTAAATTTTTCGAACTTTTTCCAATGCAGGTACTGAAAAAGCTCTGAATTTTTCTGTAGTTGAAGTTCTATATTTCCTCGGAATGTACTGTTAAAGTACTAATTTTTGTCCAGCCTGTTTGAGTAGGCACCCTGATGTCCCTATTATTCAATATCTATACGATTCCTCAAGAAAAAGGGGACAACCCAAAGTCTCATCCTTTTGTCATCCATCATTTTAATTGATAGAGCCTGAGCAACATCTGGGAGAATTTGATTTACCTTGTATCCTAATTTGTGTCATCAATTCTAGTTATAATATACAGTCCCTATTTCCCATATCACTAATGAGAATATTCTTTTATTTCTCCAGCCAATTTTTCCCTCCAGATTAATCCTATGTTTTACTTGTTACAGTACCTTCTGCCCGCTGCCATCCACATTGCCAATCAAGAACCTTTGAACCGCGGTGAAGGCCCAATCGTCTTGGTCATGGCTCCAACGCGAGAACTTGCCCAGCAAATTCAGACAATTGCTCGCGAGTACGATCAAGTCAGAATGCGTTCAACTTGTGTCTACGGAGGAGCAAGCAAAGGGCCGCAGGTTTGTTTTCATCTGTATTTCTCTCATATAAATGCTAATCCAAATATTCGAATTCCTGCTGTAGAGTTGATCTTGAATTTTTCCCATGTTTTTGCCAAGTTTTGCGTCTACTTTTGATGAAGAAATCCATCTTTCAGCAGTTATATCTTAAGTCTGTATGTTTGTCGTAATAATTCACTCCCAGACGAAAATAAACAAAAATTGCATTGTTATCATGTTGTAAAACTCAATACAAATTGCTTTAAGGATAGAGCCTTATCAATGAAGGGAGTCTAAAGTACTTTGGTCCTAAAACTAGGATATTTCAAGTTTTCTCTTACAGTGCAGATTTTCTTGTGGTTTGCCTGATGATGGTAATAAATTTGCTGATAATTATCTGTAGCTCAAGAAATCCTGAACTGATTGGAAATTTTGTCCACAAATTCTTCAGTATTTTGGTACTTAAAGCAATTAAAAGAAGACCTGTATTGGTGATGATGAAAATTTTTTTTCTTGATCTTCTATGATTTTTCTCTAAGAAGCTCTGAGCCAAAATAGATATTTCAGTAAGTGATGACAAGTGCCCCTGTAAACTCACAATTGACTCTGTCTTTCTTCAATTATTTCAACTTTTTCTCCGCTTTTTGTGCAGATCTCTGCTTTGCAAAGTGGTGTTGAAATCGTCATTGCCACTCCTGGACGATTATTGGACTTGCTGAAGCTTGGAAAGACTAATCTGTTGAGGACAACCTTCGTTGTCTTGGACGAAGCTGACCGTATGCTGGACATGGGTTTCGAACCCCAAATCAGAAAAGTGATGGAACAAATCAGGGTAATTAATTTCATCTTAAATCCTTTTTTATTTCTCTTTACTTCACTGCAAAGCTTCTTAAATCAGTGCCTTTAATGACCATGATCTCTTCAATAATCCTCAGGGTTTTTAGTTGTCAGAAGAACGCAAGGAAGTAAATTCTGTAGGGTAAAACTTCGTGAAACAAAAGGTTAATTTTCCGAAAAAATAGGAGCTTACAGCACTGTACTGTACTGGTTGTCAGAAATTTGAAAACGAGACTCTGAATGATTTTATCGCTGAATTTTGCGTTTTATTTTCCTTTGCAAACGCAAGAATAAGTAAGCAAATTTGTGGGTAATTTACAATTCCGAAATACCCCCAGACCCTGATCATGATTTGCTCATACCCTCAGAACTTTCAACCTAGAAAGGTGCAAAAACTTTGTCCAATTTTGTGATTTGCTATCGAAGTTGTTATTTATGAAGGAAGTCTCTTTTTTGGTGATGATGAACTATCTTTTTCTTGATTCCGATGATTTTTCTCTAAGAAGCTCTGAGCCAAGAACATACAATTATTTTGCTGCTTAATATTCATCGAAGAAACTCCTCTATTGGTGATGATGAAAAGTAATTCCTTGACGATTAATGATTTTCTCTAAGAAGCTCTGAGCCAAAGCAGTCGAACATTCAAAGATAATTTTTGGGTTTCTTCACAATCTCAATTCTTAGTTTGCTTTGAGGTAAACAAGGATTTGCAGTAGGGAAAGGCTGGGGAATCTGAAAATGATAAAATGAGGGAAATCCTATCAATTAATTTTTTTTCTCCTCATGATCTAATGTTGCTCATTTGGAAGTCTGCCCAAATTCATATCTGGACTACTTTTTGTTTCCAGCCTGACAGACAAGTCCTCATGTGGTCTGCCACTTGGCCGAAGGAAGTGCAGAGATTGGCTAAAGATTTCCTGAAAGAATATGTTCAAATCAACATTGGATCTACCGACCTCTCTGCCAACCACAACATCAAACAGGTCGTCGAAGTGTGTGAAGACAGCCACAAACAACACAGGTGAGTTCTTGTGAAGATGTGAATTGTGTTAACGGAAGGTTGTATTGGCATCCCCGAATCAGGTAATTTCACGAGTGTGATTACACAAGATAGAAGAAAAATAGTTTCATCTGAAGACTGAAGGGGCAGTCTAGACAAAATTACTACAAGAGCAATGTATTATTCCTCTACGTTGTGAAACACTTTTTCGTTATCCTAAGAATAAGAACTCCTATTGCTCCTTTCTAACTGTTAAAAAAAAAGAAGGAAGAACATGAAAAATCGGAGAAAATACCTACACTGTTGTGCGGGGGAAAAACTTTGTACGAACATCCAGTTGGTATCAGTGCTACCTTTATAAAATATTTATTTTTGAGGAAATAATTAAATATTTTCTCTTGAAATACTCAGATACTGTTGGTCAGTAAATTGCAAATGAAATTCTCTGAAAAATTGGTAGAAAAGTATCTAGAATTATCTTTAAAAATTCGTATTTTATTAGGAGAAATTTTGCAACTTCCTAAGGCTCAAGCTGCATTTTTCCTCAGCACAGCAGTGCTGGTTGGTTATCATAATTTCATTTCAGAAGGACAACAAAGTGAAATGTGTTGCACGGTTTGGCAGAACTTGATCTTGTCGTGCCTACTCAGTTTCAACTAATGGCCTATTATTAATTTGAATTAATAATTGGAAGAAATGCTAGAAAATTACGTACAAGGGGTATCGTTAAACCAACTTAAGTCAAACTCCTCACGTGTATCAATCTTTCCAATCAGTGTGAGATCCTCCACACTTTCTGCGCCCTTACAATTGAAGAGAATAACAAGAATTTTTGTTGATATTCTCAACACACATATTTCTGGTTTAGCATCTTATTATCGATGTATCTCATTCTTATGTCAAAAGTGTAATTTTCTTGCCTTTGATATATTTTACCTGATCCTCTTTCTTATTCATGTTCAGACTAATGGAATTACTTCGTGAAATTGCACAAGAAAGAGAAAGCAAAACTATTGTATTCGCAGAAACAAAAAGGAAAGTTGACGAAATCGCCAGACAGATCAGATACAGTGGGTAAGTGAACATTTCGTAATCCTGGAACAAAGAACCAAAAGAAAACCTCATTAGTAGCTGCTTCTTTTGATAGTTGTTGAATAATATGTTACATTTATTGGTGACTCATGGATCGTAAACAAAGGAGGTAAGCGGTAGTAAATTATTGAGAGGCTATTTGATATCTAGTAAACCGGAGAAATGCTCTTAATAATGTCTTGAGAAACAGAAAAATGCATAGTAAAATTAGGACCATTAATTACGAAGACCTTGAAGCAGACATTACTTCAAGGGTGTAAATTGACCGCCTTTAAATGAGACAATCAATTAATGATGATGTCACGAGACAGCCCGTTTTTCCATAGGTACTAAAGAAGATTAAAATATTTATTGCTTTTTGCTTTTGTCTATTAGACTACTTTAGATTGAGTCAGCAACTTTGTTGACAAGACTGTAAGAATCGAAAGTGTTGACTTTTTTAAGTATCGTCAGTATCTCCTTTCATGTTGCGAAACTGTGAATAATATTTTAACAATTTATGATTTTGGTATGTCTTATGTGCAAGAGTACCTTCTTGATGGTTTTTTTTTTTTTTTTGGGTCTTAATTTTCTTTTATTTATGTTTCAGAATCCGAGTTTCCGGCATTCATGGTGACAAAAATCAACAAGACAGAGACATTGCACTAAGAGGTAATAATTCATTTGCCTTCATTTTTAGTTCACCCTCTCTTTTGTTAAAGTTCAACATAAAATCAATTTAAGTATTTGCTAAATTCTCTAACTTGACTGGCACAGAAACAGAATTTAAGAATCTGAAGAATTATTTGTTTGAAGAACTTGCCTGAATAGTATCCATCATACTTACGTCTAGAACAACAGTAGTACAACAAAAGAAAAAATTAAATTGATGAATCTTGTGAGATCAATGAAGAAAGACTAGCTTATTGACATCCCAGATCACCATTTCATTGAATTGTCAAAACTGAACCAAGCACAAAGTTTTCAATAAAAAAATATCAATACTGATTACACTTTATTTGCAGATTTCAGAACTGGACGTATCGATGTTCTTGTTGCCACTGACGTTGCTGCCCGTGGATTAGGTACGTAAATTTAATCTTTGCTAACCTGTTCAAGTAATTTTTCTTGCTGAGAGAGAGAGAGATTCCTCAACTTATTTTTTCTTGGAGCAGAAATGACTTGTTTGTCACAGATTAGTGTTACTATACTCCAAAGTTGGGAGACTCGCACTAACCGTTTTAACTGGTAAAACTTACTGTTTTCACCCTTTTTTTTCATGAGTTGTGTTGCATCAACTCTTTAAAATATCACTAAAGATCCAAATATCAGTTTGAATTTTTTAAATATTTATTGCTGACAGCAAGAGCCTCTCAGAGCTTGAACATTAACAATTAAAACTCCCTTTTTTTCAAGAATGGAAATCTCTTCATTGCCACGAAACGTTAAGTTCCTGATCAGGTTGTATCAGGCTTTTGGAAATGATCAAGTTTTGTTTTCAAGTAACTTTAGCTTACTAGTTTCCCGTTGTTTATTCACAGGGAGAGGAAGATCAAGATCAGAGTAATGAACTTATAGTGTCGTAATAATTTTCATGACAAAAGTCTCCTATGTAGCTTTTTTCAACACTGAGTAAGGGTTAACTAGAGTCTATGTTAGGTGCAAGATGCTATCACATAAAGACATTAGTTGGTCTCTCGGATAAAGCTCCTGTGTGAAGCTAAGTCCAAGGACATTCGTTGTCAGATTTTTCAAAGGCATTATTTTACATGTTCCAAATGACCAATTTCTGAGGAGGAAAAGAAGATCTAGTTCCTTGTCTTTAGTCAAAGCTTCACTGAAAATATCATCAAAATGATTGGCTTGAAAATTGATCATTAAGAACTTAGATTTTAGTATCCAACTCAAAATCGGAACAATTTTCCTCCGAAGAAAGGAAATATATCTCATCTTACACCTGTTTCTTTGATGGGATGGACAGAGAAAGATAAAGATACTTCTAATTTCATAATGGATCGTCTTCTTCTTAAGGACTCTGCAAATGCAAACCGTGTCGTTCCTTTCCAGCAATTTATGTATAACTCTTTTTGTGTTTACTCATTTGTGTGTATTTATTAATGGCATCATCTGCTGATTATCCTGAGAAACATTACTAATTTTCAATTTTTATTTTTTTCCTTTTTTTTTTTTCTTAACTTTGTTTCAGAGGCACTTCCAGGAACTTAATTGAGATTTGAGACAAAAAGATTTTTTTGAGCTCTTCTTTCTTTTAAGTGAAAGAAGTTTTAATTTAGATGGAGTGCCTCTGCCTGCTTTCGTACTCTGTGAGACGTCCGCAGAGCTACGGAAGCTGTTTCTTGAATTGGCCTGGCTCATCATCATCAACTTGTCGCAACTCTCCTGATGTTCGAAACGGCTGTGCTTCCTGCTTACCCGGGGAATAAGGAGTGTGGATTCTCCTGGGACTAGCTCCTTCTATCATGTCTCTCCCCACCTTCCCTCCCCACCTCTATTTCTGCGTAATTGTCTTTTGAATAGGTCTCGCTTTTTTAAACCTAGGCTCCAATGACTTTCAATTGTTCTGAAATTCAGTCCTGAACAAAATCTCTATTAAATGCGGAGGCTTCTCTCATCAGATTCCTGTCTCGTGGAAATTTTCACATCAGTACTGTAAAATTAAATATAAACCCTGAGCAATCCCTCACAGCAATGTGCACAAAACCAAGCTGAGCTAGCGGCAAATTTTTGCAAGTTACGATCATTTCTATCCCTCTGTAGAATGGTGCTGCATCATTTGTCTATAAAACTAAGCTGATTTTGCAGAATTGATTAGGCAATGACAGTTATTGGGTTTAAGTTGATAGTGAGATAAAAAATTAGTTATCAGGCAATTGATTTACCTTGAACTTTAAATTCTCACCAAGAAAGTCCAGAACTTGAGCTCATCAGTTGTTACCATCCTATGCTTATTCTATTTTTCCCAAAGAGATGAATCTGATAATCGATTGATAATTATGCAGAAGATAAATGAGTCCCGGTTTCCCCTGAACCAGTTTTGATTAAGGAGATGAACAAATTGAGATGATTTTATGAATGGTGAGCAGGCCCCTTGAGTTTTGAAAACGTGTACCAGGTTTGAAGTAAGTTATTATTGGGAGTTGATGCTTTTTGATCAGTCTAAAAACTTGAATACAGTTCTAACGGGTGAATAAATCGGTTTTTTTCCGGACCTTACATTGTCCCCGAATCTCTCATCATTTGGATTCCGTGAAAAACTCAAAAATTTAGGTAACGTATTTCTATTTCACGTTCAGCGTACATCCTCCGGTCACTCGGAAGTGTGTCCTGAATCTGGAATTTCATTTTCTTTTCAACTTCCTCATTTCGATTTGCGGGGGGCATGGGGCCAAATTCTTGCGATGGAATGGTGTCGGGCTGTTTCCAAGCTGTATTCAAGAGATTAAACTGTTGCGTTTTATTTTTATGAAATTTGTCGAGAACAGTCAAATGGTGAATACCCTGTGTGAGATGTCAGTTGCCTCAATGATACTTGATTTTGTGAGGTCATTCCTACACTGGCCAGGCTAGCCAAGTAATAAGTCGAGTCAAACCGTCGGTGAGATCCAGGAATGATGTGACAAAACTTCTTGAAATATTTGAGCAAGATGACCCGAATTTTTCTTTCCTTAATGGGCTGTGTGCAATTTCGCCGTTTTTATGAAAGGTACCGCGGGAGTGACCACAGTTTAAAGTTTGGTTCCTTTTCCAGAAGTGATGTCAGTATCCTCTAGAAGAATTGTCTCTTTAAAGTAGAAATTTGCAATTACTCAATCAACCTTTTTTTCTCATCTATGCATGTTATTTTAAGCTTCATTTTGTTCACTGACAAAAATAAAGAATGTTTTGATGAGCAGAACAAATTAATTATGCTCACTCAAACAGGATTTGCTTGTTGCTGAATATCTTGAAAATATTTCCCTTTGCTAATGTAGGATTCAATGTCACTCTTCCTACATTTATCCAATACAATTCTTTTAAATGGCATCATTTTCTTGTGTGAGAAACTTCCAAGGAAAAACTTGGTGAATAAACTGCTTGTCCCCAGTAAATGTTATGTGCTGTCCTCCCCCAACCAACAATTTTCACACCAGAAGTTCCCTTTTTCCTTTTAAAATAGAAGCAATGATTACTTAGAGGTAAAATTGTCAAGCCCAGTTTAGTGGAAAGAAAATGAGAACCTCGTAATTTGAGTCACTAGGTGAGCATTTAGTGGTGTTCCATTTTGATTGATTATCATTGTAGGGTCAAAAATGTTTTATTTTCAAGTTGGTTGATATTAACCTTTAATTTTTCCTTTTAGATGTTGATGATGTTAAATTTGTGATAAACTACGATTTCCCTCATGTATCGGAAGATTACATCCACCGAATTGGCCGCACTGGAAGATCCAACCAGACCGGAACAGCGTACACATTCTTCACACGGAAAAACAGCAAACAAGCCAATGAATTGATTTCAGTTCTTCGCGAAGCTAACCAAGAAGTAGACCCGAAACTGCAAGGCCTTGCCCGATCAGGTAAGAATTGTTTTCATGGAACATGGTTTTCAATGCTAGTAGGGAAAAGGAAACTGATCATAATAACATTTATAATTGCCACGCGTTGATAAGAATTTACATTTTAAGAAAATTACATCCACCGAAAAGAAATCAAGTAAGTAAATCAAGAATTTACTTTTGAAGAAAAGGTAATTTTATTATTTTCAAAAGTTAGTGAGATTTTAGAATGGGTTCAGTCATGCAGCTTAAATTTGTCTATTGCCATTATAAAGGTCCTGATAGCTTAGGATTAATAAAGAAGATCGACTGAAGAGCAGCCATTTTGTCACCAAATATTTCTCAGTGCGGCAATGTGGATTTCTGGTCATTTTTCTTATTTTTGAAGGATGGCTTTTTCGATCACCTTAACTTTTATTCAGTTTTTCTTCACACCTATCAGAACGTAGCTAATTTTGCACACAAAAAAGAAAAGTAAGAACAGACATTTTGAAACATGGCCATCAACATTCGTCTTTGTGCTATTTCGCTGTTTATGTGTCGGCTGTGAAACAGTTGACAAAGTGACTTTTCAATCTAGGGGAAAGTCAGGGTGTCTTTAGGGCATACGATCATATGGAAGTCTCACAAAATTTCTGTATTTTTGTTTCATCGATTTTCTCGATTTTTGGATCAAAATTCTTGATGACACGGCCAACTAGAGCAAGTATGCGAGATCGCAAGATGCTGGTTGTCGTAGCTCCTGCAATAGATCCTCCTTCTCCTTCTCCTTTTCCTTATTAATATTCAATTTTAATTTTTCTCCTTTTGAAATCATTACTTCCAATCAGCATTGATGTAATGGTAAGATGTTTTCTGTGCAAGCTATTTTATAGTGGGAACTGAAAGATTTTTCTTTAGCTTCGCAGCCACACTTCTTTTGAATAAAAGGGTCATATGAAGTCCTATGAAAACGCTTTATTTTTGTATTCCGGCTTTTGTAAATACCGTGGAAGTGTGTAACGTAATTTTTCCTTTTGTTCGCAGGTGGANATTTTTTTTAAAATGTCCGTCTTGATATGTTCTTTAAGAAATTTCTAATAATCATGCAAATTTTTCCACGGAAAGCTGAAAATTTTGAAAAAATTCGCAAAATTTTTAGAAATCGAATTGCCTCTTTTTCACGAAGAGCGTGATAACTTTTTTCAAACTGCAACTATGAACTTTTTGTTTATTAGAAACTTTGTAGGGAACACAATTTCCTTTCAATTGGTCCTCTTGAAGTAAGGATTCGGACAATGAGTGGGGTGGGAGAGGAGCCGAAACATGACGCAGTGCGATGCCGCGCGGCGCCGTGCCGCACCCAGCGCTGAGCGGTACGCCTGGCGACCAGAGGGGCTGGCGATCGTCTTGATATAGTCCAGGCGCCTGGTAAGTCTACCTGGAATTTTGGGTACACAGGGATTTTTTTGGCCTACTTTATGTTTTTTGGGTCGCTGAATCCGAATCTGAAGTTTCCGCACGCGTATCTGGTGAGCATTTTCCGCTATTTTGAAAAAATGGCCTAAAAAGGCCTTTTTTTGCGGTTTTTTTGATATAGCGGCTACGGATGAGGAAAAATCCCGGATTTAGCTAATGTTTTGAATAGCTGACAAAATTTGGAAGAAAATGGTATATGAATATGCTAGGTTTGCTCAAAATTTGAGGAACCTCGGATCTCGGAACTTTGGAACGCTTCGGAACTTAGCTGACCGCGGCGAGCCGGATCACGCGTTAACGGGTGCGCCGCGAAAACGTGAATAGGCGCGATGTTCACGATGCTGTATCTTCCTCAATTTTTAAGCAAACCTAACATATGTATACACCATTTTCTTCCAAATTATGTCAGCTATTCAAAACATTAGCTAAATCCGGGACTTTTCCTCATCCGTAGCCGCTATATCAAAAAAACCGCAAAAAAAGGCCTTTTTAGGTCATTTTTTCAAAATAGCGGAAAATGCTCACCAGATACGCGTGCGGAAACTTCAGATTCGGATTCAGCGACCCAAAAAACATAAAGTAAGCCAAAAAAATCGCTGTGTACCCAAAATTCCAGGTAGCCTCATTTTTAGCTACCAGGCGCCTGGACTAAATATAGGATTGTTCTCAATGGCCGATTTAATTTACACCTGTTCAATCGAGCATCTCAGAATTATTCGCCACACCAACTAATAATATTAGGACATCTACGAGCATCTCAGAATTATTCGCCACACCAACTAATAATATTAGGACATCTACATAATTATGAACTTTTTCCATTTCCATCTACATATCCACTGGTATCACCAAGCCCTTGCAAATTTCTTCCCAATTTTTCTTTTGCAGTTCTGTTGTTAGGAAAAAATTTTCTACGGATCTGGGTATTTCCTTAGGAATTTTAAAACCTACTAGTGCGAAAAAAAGACGGGGGGGGGGGCTNGGGGGGGGGGATTACGTCCACAACGATCAAAACCTGTATGATTCTCATAGTTCACAAAATCATGGTTCATTATATGCGTCAACTTCTTGTGTCACGCTTGGATCCTGAGAGACATCGGAGCTTCATAGTCTTTCAACATCCTTCCTGGCCTGACAAGGCATACCCGTTTTATTTTCGTTATTTGTTCTTGGTTGTACGGCTCTCTGTGATGAGAATATCGCGCGGCTTGATGCCAAATTCGATCTTCTGAGAGAGCCAAAATCAAATAAATAACGTTCTTTTCAATCGCCTTTATATCCTATTTACATCAGATTCGCCAGTATATTGCCTTTGTATCCTATTTACATCAAATTCAGAGAGCAGATATACATGAACGATTCTTTCTTACCTCGACGCCAGGATAGGTGAGAGATGTTGATTCTGAATTGCTAAAACGTAGTAA